CATACCTGCTTCTACCGTTCTCCCCCAGCAGCAGTGTGCAGTGGACTTTGGTGACCACCGTGCCACCCTCTTCTCCACTGCCCCCCGCTCCTCTCCCCTGATGCTTTCCTAAGGCACCAACTCTTCATGGCCTCAGAAAAGTTGTTATTTTGAGGTCATCTGCTCTGCACTCTCCCTCTTTCCCCCATTCCCACTTTATCATCAGTCAGGCTAACTCCCCTTCGGAACCATATGATGGCAGAATAGAGGGCTTTTCCCAAGTCTTCATGTACTTTAGGATGCCGGCTGCAGCATCTGTAGAAGAAAGACTGCCAGACTGAGAGTCAAGAAGGGGCCTCCTTTAGATTTTCACCCTCTTGCTGTGTGACTTCAAATTAACCCTTCTCTTCCAGGGTCTTGATTTCTTTGTATGTTAAATTATTGATTTAGTTGCAATAGGTTGCAAAAGGTTCCAAAATACTTATACTTGTGTTGTTTTTACTGTGTACGTAAGTAATAATGAAATATATTATTGTTTAAAAATTGCAGAAATTCAGGTAAAAACTCCCCCTCACTGGCCACACAATTTTCATCCCTTTTCTTGAGATGATAGCTGTAATCAATGTGTACTTTTTTCTAGAGACTTTTTTCCAGATATATTTGTATACCAATAGAAACTGTGTGGCATATTATAATTCTGCCACAGGATCTCTGGTGGCATAGTCCACAGGGAGTTGGGCTGCTAATCCAAAGGTGGCACCTCTCTGGGAATTCAAATCTACCAGCTGGTCCATGAGAGAAAGGTTGGCCATCTCCTGTGCGATTTACAGGAGATGTAAAAAAAAAAAAGCCAGAAGGGTCTCATAAAGCCCATTGAAGGGTCAACTGTGAGTTGGCTAGCAACTATGACTTGATAACAATAAGTTAAATTTTCTACTCAGTGAATTTCTATCTCTGAACACTATGATCGACGTCTTTTAAACCTTCGATGACATTCCATAGTATTTTGTACCTTAGTGTATTTCAAGAGTTCTCATGTGAGGCTCATTCCCCAGGTTTCTTTTAACATCCTCCCTACATGTCCTGTGAGGGCTTCCTTGGCCTCACTGATGGCTTTTCTATGCGGGCTGTGCAGCTGGGGATCACAGAGCTGAGAGTGACTCGGGAGGTGGTCACTGAACTCCCTGTCAACCTCCTCTTGCATGCAAACCTGGCCACCGTCAGACTGTGCTATGAAAGGCTCAGGAGCCCCTCCCAGGCCCTCCTGAGCAGGGCCTCACTTCCCAGCCTTCCAGAGATGCCATGGTCAGGCCCTACAGCGCAGCATGTCAAACCAACAGCCCCTGCTCAGCATGCAGCAAGCGTGACAAGATTGACAGAAGATGAGCTATGGGGATGACTTCACTCCACCCGCTTCCTCCCTATGTCAACACTAGAAAGGCCTGGACGTATCCTGTTGCCCAACTCCATGACATAGAGAGGAGGAAACAGGAGCCCAGAGATGGGAAGGTGCTTGCCCAAGGTCACCCAGTAAGCAAGTAATGAGGCTAGTCTTCCACTCGGGGCTCCATCTGATTGAGGACACAGGTGGCTAGCTGGGTCTTGTGCTTCTTTCCTTGCTATCCCCACTCCAGCCACCAACTCCGCTTTCCTCAGCTCCTTCGGGATCCTTCTGCCTGCATGGCCGGCCCAAAGGCCAGAAACAGCACCCACTTCTTTTGCCAGGACCTCTGAGGCAACTAAAATTGGTAACAGGGGAGGCTAGAGGGCTGGAAAAGGCACACTCCAGGGAGGGAGAAAAGTCAAGCCTCCTGCAGGGCCTTTCTCCGGGACTAAGCCGCCATGTCTGTCAGACATGGAGGCTGGGCCCTGCTCTCCAGGCCTCCCTGACTCTGAGGATCTGCCTGGCTCTACTCGGGACCTGCTAGCTGCCAGCTGAGTGACTCTAGCCCATATACAATAGAGAAAAATATTGTCTAGTCCTTTGCCATCTTCTTCTTTTTAAAAAACTGTTATTAGAAAATATATATGACACAACATTTGCCAATACAACATTTTCACAGGTACAATTTAATCTGTCATTTTTGCCAAATTTTCTACCTCCCTGAGCTGAAACTCCCCACTTGTGGTGCCAGTGTTGGGATGAGTGGCATGTTTGAGCCCAGTTGGGCAACATTCCGTTGTGAGCAATAGGATTGCTTTCAGCTGATTTCTGGAAGTAGATTGCCAGGCCTTTCTTCCTAGTCTGTGTCAGTCTGGAAGTGCTGTTGAAACCTTTCTACACTGGCTGACCCTGCTGCTATTTGAAATACTCACGGCATAGCTTCTAGTATCACAGCAACGTACAGATCTCAGCAATACAGGGTTGTGGCTTGCCAGGTGCAGGGGGGTGTTTAAAACGGAAGTGGTCTGCCCTCCCCTGAGACTTTCCATCTGTCAGATAAGAGCAGTGGAGGCCACATCCTCCCAGTCATGGTACTCTGGGGTGTTGGCAGATGTTCAGAGATTAAGCAGTACCCGCCTAAGGCCAAGGGGTGTCCAGGACAGCAGTGGCCATGTAGCCTCCACACAGCCTAAAATGCAGGAGTTACACTAATCCTCTGCTCCTGACCATGTGAAATCAAATCTTTCTGCCCATCTTAGAGATGGGAAAGCTGAGGACTATTATTTATGGTATTCTTCCATCTGAGCCTCTGCAATTTGCTGAGAATGCTGAAATATCTCCATAGCCTTGAACATTTAAGCCCTGCCCTTCCTCCATCTGATGTCCCAGAGGGGGCCTCTTGGGTCTCCACCCCCATCTCCTTCCTGCCTGCACCCCCTGCCAGCCAATGGGAGCTGCCAGTGGCTGCTCAGATCCTGAAACTAATGGTGCTAGAGCCCCACCCACACAGTCCAGACACCGGAAAAGGAGTGAGACACTCTGATCCTGGGGAGGGACGTGACCCAGTCCCTTGAGGCTCCAAGTCACCCCTCCCCTCAAGGCTCAGTGACTTGTGGAAATCTGATCTGTGCTCAAGGGAGAAAGACGAGGTGCCAGGTTCAATTGGAGATCTGAACTGGCCTTAGAGCTCTTCTCCGCTTTTGTGGGCCCTGAATAAAGTAGATGAGGATTAGAGATGCTCTGTCTTTAAGAGGGCTTTGAACCGTGACTTCTGGGTTGCAGTCAGAGAGGAGCGTAAAGAAGTATGACCAGCAGAGCCGGAACTTGGATTTATAGGGGCAGAGTGGGGAGAAAGGCCCCTGGCTTACTACATTCCCAATGTTAAACATTAATAACAAAGATACACCTTCACAAAGATATACCTTCATGCACTTAATAAAAACAGAACAAAATCGTCATGGCCCACAGTATCATGGAATGATGGGTTGACAAAAGAGGGGTGGTTGAAGGGCTTCCAGGAAGGGCACTCAGGACTTCCATCCCAGGAGGAGCCCCAACATACAGAGCAGCCAGACAGTGTCCATCCAAGTTGTTTTGTCCTGTGGAGAATTTGCATTTCTACGTTAGGTGTGTCAGAATTTACCGTTTAATAAGATCCTGGGTGATTATTACGCACACTAACAGTGTACAGTGGCTGCCCCCCACCCCCACCCCGAGCGACAGTGAGCTGAGCAGTATTAGCAGAGCCCTCTGAGACTGTTATCACTGGTGCTTTTTAAAGTGACCAACTGCACTAGTTAAACACTTCATGCTCTTGATGTTTTTCCTTGCCAAACATCAGGCATATTTTGTCAAATAATAGATTCTTCAAGTTAAGGATACTTAAGGAACACTCAGTCCATCCTGCCAAATGGTGTTTGCTTTACAGCTGCGCGTTGTACACAGCCAAAGACAGGGAGCTCCCTCTCACCACCGAGCCTCATCCTCCCACGAGGCAGCCTGTCTCTGTTCTGCACACTTGTGGAATTCTTCATAGTGAATTCAAAGTTCTCCTTGAAACTTTCTTTGGCCACAGCTCTGCCCTCTAAGGCTGTGGGTATCACACTAACTCCTTCAATCTCACGGCAGCCCTGTGGAAAACAGCGCTCAGGTTTTCTGGCCTCTTCTTGAGGTTAACGGTTCATTCCCTTAGCACACTGCCTTTGAGCCAGCACTGACTCATAGCTGACCCTCCATCTAGTTTCAGAGGCTGTAAATCGCTCGTGAGGAGATGCTCATTTTTCACCTGCAGAGCAGCTGGTGGATTCCAACTCCAGAGGTGTGCTGCCTTTGGGCTAGCCATGCAGCTCCCTAAGAAGCAGGCTCTCAGGGTTAGCGGTCTCCTGTAACAAGCTTTTCCATCCCCTCTCCCATCTGCCAGGTCCCATTCCTTGTGGACACTTTTCAGTTGGTCAGTTTCTCATCTAAAATGTGAGCAGACTCTAGGCGGTCTCTCCAGGTCCTATCTGAGCTGCTCTGAACTCTCTCTGACAGCTCTGGACACTGTCTTCCTACTGTCTCTCTAGCTGGATCGGCTTTGGTTTGCTTCAGGTTGAACTTAGAGGGAGACTTGAGTCTTCTTGACGACAAAGAGTGCAGCCCAGAATTATTTTGTTTTTACGTTGAGTTGTCATTAAGTCACTTCTAACTCTTGTTGATCCACGTGTGTTAGAGTAGAAATGGGCTTCACAGGGTTTCAGTGACTGATAATCAGAAGTAGATCACCAGGCCTTTCTCTCAAAGCACCTCTGAGTAGACTAACCTTCAACATGCTAATAGTTCATACCACGCAGGTACCAGCCCTAGGGCCACATGCCCCAACCCTCTCAGGAAAAAGCCTGCCCTGGAGCCTGGACTGGGAAGAACACTTGAGCCAACCCTGACCCTCTGAAAATGGGAAAACTGAGATCTGGAGAAGGGGAGCGACTTACCCAAGTCCCACAGTGAAGCTGGACCTGGGTATCCAGGCCTCTAACCCAGTCCTTGGTTCTCCCTACTGCCTTCCTGCTCCCAAATTTCTCCCTGAAGCTGCCTCCCCTGAAGCCTTCTTGCTCCCAAATTCCCACTAGACTCAGGAAGCATCATCCCTGTTCCAGAGCTCAGGCCGGATGCCCCACCCCAGCCTCAGCCTCTGCTTTTGGGAAGGGAAATTCTGTGTCACCCCCCTCACCTCCTGTCCTGCCTCTCACCTCCTTCCCCAGTCACTACCAACTGCTTTGTAAGATAACTCTACGCCATGACCTTGAGGAGGATGTGGACAGGGCCTAACTGGGGCATTTTCCATGTAGGAGTTGCATATTGATTCCTGCCCCACTTTGGACCATTTGTCTTCAGGCTGTTAGCATCCAAGTCCTAGGGGATGACTGGTAAGAATGGAGATTCCCAGCCCTCCTCCCTCCTGGCATTCTGTAGGTGTGGGATTGGGCCTGGGGATTTGTCAGGAAACACTCACTGCAGGTGGTTCTTTCTAATAGAGGGAGTCATAGATTCCACGTTCCTAGGACTGATCTGGGAATCCTAGGTGATGCGGGCCTATTCAAACTGGATTTCAAAACTAGTCTCTGTCCTCAAGTAACCCACTGGGTTAACAGAGAAAGCAGAAGCTAATGAAGTACTCCCTTGGGTGTCTGAACATATATTGAAGGCTGAAGAAAATACAGCCGTTTGCTTAGTCACGGAGAGGGGCTGAGGGAGTCAGGGGAAATTGTGTGGGAGTCGGGCCTGGAGGCCTGCGGAGGAGTGAGCTATGCCACGTTGGCTGAGTCTGAGCAGTGTGGGAAGTCTGTGAATGTTCAGATCTGTGTGTGGAAGTCAGAAGTACAATGGGCAGCTCCACTGATTTTGATTTCTTTTTTATTTTGTTCTAGGAAGTTTACCAACATTAACAAGCAACAAAAAGTTATAATCTACTGTGGTGGCAAGATTGGAGTGAAATTGTCCTTTTTGTGTGCTGTTTGTGGTTCAGTAAATTGGTACTGTCATTCTGTTGTTGTTGTTGTTCGGTGTCATCAAGTCACCTACGGCTCATAGAGAGTCTGTGAATAATGGATCTGAAACTTGCCCAATCCAGCACCATCTTCATGACCTCTGATATACTTGAGCCCATTTTTACAGTCACTGTGTCAATCTATCTTGCACAGGATTTTCTTCTCTTTCACTGACCCTCCACCTTTCCCAACAGCCCTTTTCTAAGAACTGCCCCTGCTAACAGCTTGCCCAAAGTGTGTGAGGTGAAGGTTGTATCTTCTGCACAATGCAGGTTGTTGATGAGTCTTCCTCCAATCCTGATGCCACATTCCTCTTCATAAAAACCAGTTTATCAAATGATTTACTCAGTATGCAGATTGAAAAAATTATGAAGAAAGGATACAGTCTTGATACACCTTTCGTGGTTTTATACCATGCAGTGTTCTCTTTTTTTTTTAATAAAATTTTTATTTTATACTGAATTGAAGCTCAACATAAAGAAAACAGAGATTCTCACCACTGGGCCGACTGGCAGCATCGTGATAGGCAGTGAAGAGATTATTAACAACTTCAGTTTGCTTGGCTCCACAATCAACACTTTTGGTATCAGCAACCAGGAAATCAAAAGACAAATTACAGTGAGAAAGTCTCCTGTCAGAGACTTCTCCAGAATACTGAAGAGCAACAATGTCAGTCTGAAGACAAAGGTGCGACTAATCTAAGCCATGATCTACACAATTACTTGCTATGCATCAGAAAGCTGGACGATGACTAGGAATGATGGAGAAATGTTGCCTTTGAGCTGTGGTGCTGGAGAGAGTATTGAATAGACCATGGACTACTAGGAGAGCAAATAGGTTTGTCCTGGAGAGGGTGAAACCAGGCAGCTCTTTGGAAACAAGGATTCTGAAACTCCATCTGACAAACTTTGGGCATGTTTCAAGGAGGGACCACCTTGGAGAGGGACATCATGCTTGGAAGTATAGAGGGACAGCACAAGAGAGAGAGGGAGACCCTCAATGAGGTGGATTGACTCAGTGACTGGGGATATAGGGATAGGTGTGTCAGAGATGAACAAGTTTCAGAGCTATTGTACATAGGGTCACTATGAGTCACAAGCAACTTGATGACACGACATTACCTATAAAGTTCATATACATTGTTTTTCCCACAGGATCTTTCCCAATTCCTTTACCCACCCCTCCCTCCACCCATCAAATTGTGCGACCCTAAAGCACGCTGGCCACCAGCTGCTCCACAGGAGAAGGATGGGCAGTCTCCTCCCATGCAGTTCATTAACTGCCTCTGCATACCTGCCAGAGGGTCAGCTTTGGGTCGGTTCAACTCAACAGTACACAACAACAACAACGTAATTACCTTATCACCACCACTACCCCCTGACCATTCTCACCCCTCTGCTCCCACCCTCCTCCCTTGGATTCTCATACACAGTTTACTAGTTATCTTTCTGTTTCTACAATAATGGTCTTATAAAGTATTTGTCTTTATGGGACTAAGTTAGTTCACTTAACATAATGTTCTCTAATCCCTCCCAAGTTAGGTAGTGATTTTCAAAATCATTGCACGCCGTGTTCTCTTGCTCTGTTCAGACAACAGCTTCTTGGTCTCGGGATAGATGTCATATATGCATAATTAATTAAGTGTTCTGAAATCCCCTTTCTTCTCAATGTTAGTCACAGTTTGTTATAGAAACTATAACTAACTTGAAAATACAGTATAAGAACCATCAAAAGTATTTAACACAAATTGTTGATTCAATGATTAAATTAATCTACGGAGAGGTCCCTTTCTAGAGTCATTAAAGTGAACATATTTAAAGACTGTTTAATGTTGCTTAAGTGCTTATATTTAAAAATTAATAAGATGTAAGGAAGCATATGTAACACTCTGATACTAAGGAAGTGTATGTGCATGAACAATATGTACATGAGTATTCCTAAGAAGTGCGGTTTTCTCATTATATTTCCTTTATTTGCCATACGTCACTCCAGAGGCGTTAACTATCCAGAGGCCCAGTTTTCTCAGAATCTGAACATGAGAGCACAAGATCATATTCCATTTGTGGGGAAAGGATGAGGGAAAGTTTCCACTTTTCTATTCAATTTGGGTTTGGTGGGTTTTTTTTTTTTATCAAGTTTTTGAGTGGTATAAATGGTTAATGCACTTGACTGCTTACTTAAAGGTTGAAGGTTTGAGTCCAACCAGAGGCAAGTTGGAAGAAAGTCCTGGTGATCTACTTCTGAAAAATCAGTTCTTTGAAAACCATGAATGGCACTGTTCTACAGTGACATAAAGGGGACATAATGTGTCAGTCACCTCAATGACAACTGGCAACTAGTTTGTAGTTGGTGTTATTTGGAAGAAACTGGTTTCCTTGAATTTATGACCTTATTTCAGAAGACAAAATCTGATGTTCCAAACCAGGCTCTGAGGTCAACACTAAAATATTCTGTGATATCTGTGTGTGCTATGACCTTCAAATACATAATAACCTTCTGCCATCTTTGAGTTCCTGATAAAGTGTGGATAGTGTAGGTACACGATGTTGTTTAATCCATGAAAAACAACCTGACAAGGAAACCAAGGTTTGGAGAGATTACATAGTTACAGAGTTGAGTCCAGGATTAGAACTCAGATCAGAGTGATTCTAGAACTTCAGCGGTCTTTACCACTCTGTTCTACAACATCTAATGTTCTGAGAGCTTTGTTCTAATGATGATTGTGCATCATGGCACAGTTCCCTCTGAGTCTCAGTTTCCTTGGCTGTACTAAGCCTTGCCCCACGGCTCTGTGGACAGGAGCTGAGATTAGATGCTAAGAGACTGACTGCTATGGGGTCAAAGAGATAGACTCGCAGACCGCCCATATTCACAATTTAGTTTTCCAAGCACCCTAATGAAAAATCAACCTCTTTCTAGGGAAAGGAGGAAGCTGAAGCCCACTGGGGAAGGAGACCTGTCCAAGATAGCAGCACAGCTGGTACTCGGGTCCAGGAATTCTGCCTCTCCTTGCAAAGTTCCCAGGCTCAGGGTAACCAATGGTGGCAGCAGGAAAGAGATATCCATATGCTTTGTATCTCGCTCCCTCCTCCAGCCCAGGGGAGAGGCTGGCTCCTGTCACATTCCCAGATTCTTGTGTTGACAGCTTCTCTGCAGTGTGCCAGGGTCCAGCTTCCTCCTCTCCCTGAGAAAAGGAGGCTTGACCAAAGCAGAGTGCTTGGAGAGCTAAATTGCCAGGCTCACTCACCTCCATCCCATGCACCTCCTCACTCTCACCCCCCCATCTTCTATCCCTTAGCCCTCCCGCACATCTGAGGCATCAGGGCTTGGGAGGGGTTATTGATTCCAGGGGTGCTTACCCTGTGCAGTTCCCTGCCTAGCGCGGTGGGGGAGGAGTGGACTCCTTGGAACCCTCCTGTCCCTCCACTTCTTTCCCCCATTGAGGAAAATGTTAATTTCTTTTATTTCAATATATACCTTTTGACATCTGTCACCATAGTAAAAACAGAAGTTTTCTTTCACAGTGAGCATTATATTATAATTGAGTATTTCTTAGGCATTTTCATAAGGTAACTTGGTTTTTAAAAGTGTTTCTCAAACTGGGTTCTAAAGCGTCTTGACTGTACCAAAGGCTCAAATTTTTTGGTCCAAATCTCGGACCAGTGACCAGTGTCAGACCCTGAAAAACTTTCTACCTATTAGGGATGAAATGAGAAGATTAAAGGGAGAGTGTCTGTGTTGTAGTCTTCAGGAACAATGTCGGTCACCTCTGGAAGAAGTGTTCTTGAACTTCTCCTTACTATGTGTTTAAAAAGTAAAGATCTCCTTTTTAATGGTTTTAATGAAATAATAGAGGTAATTTATTCCCCATGTCTTTGCTTTAATGCTCTCTTAAAAAGAATTACTCATTTATGGAAACCTAAATCTAGAAGCCATCAACACTGCTTTTGAATTAGTATTTCCTTTGATGCAATTCAGCCTATATTGGCCAATGCAGTGCCTACTAGGTATGATTCAAGTGCTGATCCCGCTGGCTATTTCCTAAGCTCCCTTGGTCAAGTCTTAACCTCACTCAGCCCCAGTCTCCTCTTCTTTAAAATGGGCTGCTCACATTTCACAAGGTCATTCTGAAGACGAAATAAAATCATGTAGGTGAAACAGCATAGCACCTGGTAGTTCGTGAGTACCCTAATTCTTCCCCTCTCCTCCCATTCTGAGCACTATTGTCTCCACTCTCCAGAGGGGTAAACATACCCTACTAACAACGTACACCTGTGGCAAACCATGGCCAGAGCTTGATGCTCTTGACCCTGTACTACATAACTTTGGGGGGAACTTGACTGTGAGTTGTGGTAACCAGAAGCTGTACTGTTGTTGTTATCGTTGTGTGCCGTCGAGTCGTTTGCGACTCATAGCGACCCTATGTACAACAGCCCCAAACCCTGCTCTATCCTGTGCCAATCGCACTGTCTCTGACACACCCATCCCAATTACCCCAGTCGCTGAATCAATCCACCTCATAGAGGGTCTTCCTCTCTTGCGCCATCCCTCCACCCTCCCAAGCATGATGTCCCTCTCCAAGGACCTGTCCCTCCTTGCAACATGCCCAAAGTATGTCAGACGAAGACCCAGAATCCTTGCCTCCAAGGAGTTGCTTGGTTTAATCCTCTCCAGGATGAATCTGTTTGTTTTCTTGGCAGTCCATGGTACATTCAATACTCTTCTCCAGCACCACAGCTCAAAGGCATCAATTCTCCTTCTATCCTCCCTAGTCATTGTCCAACTCTCTGATGCATAACAAGTGATTACAAAAACCATGGCCTGGATCAGGTGCACCTTAGTCTCCAGAGAGACACCGTTGCTCTTGAGTACTTTAGAGAGGTCCCTAACAGCAGACTTTCCCATTGTTTTTTGATTCCCTGACTACTGGTGCCAAGAGTGTTGACCATGGAGCCGAGCAAACTGAAGCTGTGAACAATCTCAATCTCTTTGCCATCCATCCTGATGCTACCAATTGGTCCAGTGGTGGGAAAAGGGAACCACCGCTGAGCTGAGGGTGTGGAGGTTTTGGTTTTCTGTTGTGTACCATGGAATTGGAAAGGACCCATAGCGGCCCCTTTGGTAGGTTTTCAGAGACAGTTAATCACAAGGGAAGAGATTGCCTATCTTTCTCCCACGGAGCAGCGGGTAGCTTTTGGTATTGCAGTTCAGCTTCTTGCCACTTGGCCACCAGAGCTCCCTTGGAGTTTTCAGGACATGTCAAATCTATAGAGGGGGTAGGGGCTATAGCATAAGGCCTGGGAGAAGGAAGAAGTGATAAGGCTGGGCCCACTGATAACAGCAAAAGCCGGACTTCTAGTATCCATGGAAAAGTAAATAAAGAAGGGAAAAAATCATTAGTCACCATTAAGTTGATTTTGACTTATGGCAACCCACATATTTTCTTGCTTGTAAACTTTTTTTTTAAATTCATTCATTGTTGTACATTTTCCTCCTTCCCCTCCCCCAGTGCATTTGCAATGCACCTCTTATTGATTGTAACTTTTATAGAAGCAACTAAGCAGGACTTTTTCCTATGGTGCTGCTGGGTAGGTTTGAACTGTCAGCCTTTAGTTTCATAGTCCGTCATAAGCCACTCATCACAGCCAGACGGAAGGCAAATCCAGTTAGCATCAAATTCTTCACTGAGGGTTTTCTCAACAATGACAGAAATCCTACTCTAGGAATCCCTTCCCAGGCAGAGGGAGTGCTGCCTTTGACTAAGTGGGCCAGGCATCAGGCATGACCTGGCATAACTGGAAGACCTGCCTTGCCTTTGGAAGACGTTAGCATTCACTCTCACATTGAACTCTATCCTCACCTCATTAATGTCTCCTTTCTTCCAGAAACACCAAGAACCAGAACATCCCCAAACATCACAGGAACCAGTGCCCCTCAATGAGGACGCAGGTAAGTAGCCAGCCTCACAAATGTCGCCGTGGACACCGTGAAGTTTCTCATGTTCAACAAAGGTGATGATCACTGCTTAAACACCCATAAGGTCTCAAGTAGGTTATCTTAACAGGAATACCATTTCTAAAGTCAGGAAGGTTACTTTAACAGGAACCCAATCTCTAAAGTCAGAAAGCTAACAATTCTGGTCTGTGCTTCTTTGTTCTGAGTTGCTGATGCCACACCTAAAGTTCAGGATTTATTTATGAAAAGTGCATTTTTAGAGGGATCAAAAAGCATTGGAGGATGTTTAAAAGTTAAATTTTAACATGTTAAAAATGTTGAAGAAACTGGAAGCCATGTTGTATAAGGAGTGGTTGAGGGAACAGGGAATGAACCACCTAGAAAGACGTAATAAAATGTAACAGTTCTGCGAGTGTCTGAAGTGCTGCCACAGAAAAGAAAGTGGTCTTTGTTTGGTGTGACCCAAGAGTTGGTACATGGACCCCAAGGTACAAGAAACTGGCAGGAAGAATTCAACCCAAGCTCAAAAGATTTTTCATTTTCAGTTTTTATTTAAAACCATGAGAGTTACCTAATAAGAAAATAAACTCTCCACTCCCAAAGGTGTTTAAGCACAGGCCAGATGATCAACAATTAAGGATATTGTGTATATGATGAACAAGAAATAAACCAATGGACCAGAATTCAGAGGTTCTCCAACCTAGCATACATCATAATTGTTGTTGTTGTTGTTATGTGCCGTTGAGTCATTTGCAACTCATAGCGACCCTATGTACAACAGCCCTAAACCGTGCTCTATCCTGTGCCAATCTCATTGCCTCTGACACACCCATCCCGATTACCCGAGTCACTGAATTAATCCACCTCATAGAGGGTCTTCCCCTCCTGCGCTGTCCCTCTACTCTACCCAGCATGATGTCCTTCTCTAAAGACCTGTCTCTCCTTACAACAAGTCCAAAGTATGTCAGACGAAGCCCCAGAATCCTTGCCTCCAAGGAGCAGCCTGGTTTAACCCTCTCTAGGATGAATCTGTTTGTTTTCTTGGCAGTCCATGGTACATTCAATACTCTTCTCCAGCACCACAGCTCAAAGGCGTCAATTCTCCTATCCTCCCTAGTCATTGTCCAACTCTCTGATGCATAACAAGTGATTGCAAAAACCAGGACCTGTATCAGGGGCACCTTAGTCTCCAGAGAGACACCGTTGCTCTTGAGTACTTTAGAGAGGTCCCTAACCTCAGACTTTCCCATCGCAATACATTTTTTTATTTCCTGGCTACTGGTGCCAAGAGTGTTGACCATGGAGCCGAGCAAACTGAAGTTGTGAACAATCTCAATCTCTTCGCCATCCATCCTGATGCTACCGATTGGTCCAGTGGTGAGAATTTTTGTCTTCTTGACATTGAGCCTCAGTCCATATTGAAGGCTGCAGTCCTTGACCCTCTGCAGTAAGTGCATGAGGTCCTCCTCAGTTTCAGTGAACAGGGTACCTGGAGAATTTCAAAGATGCACATTCTGGGGCCACAGTCTGGACACGTCTCTCTAGGACTAAGGATGAACATGATCGTTATAATGAACTTCTCTCCTGCTAGTTCCAGCCTGCTGCTGGTCCCAGGGACCAGTGTTTGGAGCGCTGAACGAAATCACTTGTGAGAGTCTAAGCTCTTGGATCTTGACTGTTTTATCATCCAAATTTTCCCTTTCTGCTCATAGCCTTTGGGAGTCCAGGGCTGCTTGTCCTGTTGGAACTGACAACAGTGCTGACTTCTCCCCCACAAGCTGCTTCCTAGGGTCCTCGTGTTTCTAGACATTGCCTTTGCCAGAGGCTCCTCTGGAATTCTGTAATAATAACAAAACAGTACAGGTATGGCCCTCCAACGTTTCCTATGAGAACCAGCACCTAGCATCTATTGAGCCTCTCTAAAGGGCCTGGTGCTCAAGGAATTTTTGTGCACAAGGAAACAGAATAAAGTGGTTGATTGAAGTGTTCACCATGGAATTTGATGGTGTGAGTTCATATCCTACTCTCCCAATCCTGAACTGGATGGTGTTGGGCCAGTTGTATAACTTCTCTGTGCCTCAGTTTCCTCATATGTGAAATGGTGATTATAATAATATTCACCATGGTCAGTGATGAGATGATTGAGTAGTAACCTTATAGAAAGCTCTCAGTACCCTTTAGCTGTTTTTATTCTTTTATCAATGTCATTATAACATCTGACTGTATCTTTTCAGTACTCCCGTAATCTTTTGTAATCTTATGTCAGCTGGCTAATTATGTAACTAGAGGGGATAGAGGATTGGTGACCACACTGGGTCTCCCTCTTGGAACAAACAGTGCCTTCACCTCCAGGCCCCTCTCGGGGCTCAGCTGGCATGGCCAGTGATGAGGGGGACCCTCCTACATGCTCCCAGTAGGGAGAGGTAGAGACTGTGGTAAATGGTAGAACCACACACCTAACAAAGGAAGCAGATGCTACTTGGCTCCCGCTCCTGGAAGACTTGAAGGTATGCAGACCCTGGAGGCCAATTCTTTGTATTCTTCCAGAACAACTGACAATCCTTATTACTGTGCAAAAGTTTACTGCTTATTCAGAGTTGTTATAGTGTACCACAGAGTCAGAACCAACCCATAGCAGATCCTCCACAGGGTGTTCAGAGGCAGTTAATTGCATGGAAGGAAATTACTCATCTTTCTCCCATGGAGCAGCTGGTGGCCTCAAACCATGTGCCTTTGAGATTGCAGTGCAGCTTTTGGCCACTATACCACCAGAGCTATTTATTCAGTATTGTTGCTGATTGCCTTTGCATCGAACACAACTCATAGCAACCCCATGAACCAAAGGCCTGAAGCCTTTCTATAATTGTCGACATTTATCGAAGTTCATAGAGTTTCTGGAGGCTTGTTGTTTAGGAAGTGGATGCCACTACTGCTTCCAAACCTGTCATAGAATGTTATTGTTATTATGTGCCATTGAGTCGCCTGCGATGTATAGCATCCCTATGTACAGCAGCTCTGAACTCTTCCCTGTCCTGAGCCAGTCTCACTAATTCCAACACACCAACTCCCGGTGTCCCTATTGCTGTATCAATCCATTTCATCTGGGGTCTCCCTCTCCTGCATTGTCCGTCCACCCTTCCAAGCATGATGTCCTTCTCCAAGGACTGATCTCTCCTGGCCGCGTGAATATTAGCAACATTTAAAAAAAAATTAAGTAATGGATAAAGCAAGTAGACCGCCTGTTTGGTTTAATCTGTCCAGTGAGCTACCTGCTCTGTTGTAGATGACCAGGGACCATAGGAGACCACTGGCTCCTGCATTGAAAGAGGATCTCCAAAGTCAGAGAGCTTTGGGGGCTGCCTCTGAATGTCAGTTCCCAGCTGGAACTCTTCTTGACGTGGAGCCCAGGGTTCTCATCCCTTCTCCCGTGTCTCCCTCATGCTCTCTGCAGGGCCCTGAGTCCAAGTCCAACTCTATGGTTTTTCTTTTCCCAACTGTAGCCACAACTGCTCACCTGTGTGCATGTGAGGAGGCTGAGCAGCAGCGAAAGGACATAACCAGAATCCTCCAGCAACATGAAGAAGAGAAGCAGCAATGGGCGCAACAGGTAAACGTCCAGACACTTCCCCACCTCTCTTTCTTCCTGGTCAGTGAACCTCGATAAATCTCAGAACAGAGATCTAGTTTGAGGGTTTCTTGTCATTCTAAGTATATCTTACTCCTTTTGTTAAATAAGTTAAGCAAACTCCATTGCTATTGAGTGGATGCCGGCTCATGGTGATGGTGTGTGTTACAGAATGGAGCTACTCCAAAATCTTCACGGCTTTTGTAATCTGTTTTTAAAAACAAACAACAATAAAGCAGATCACTAGGCCCTTCTTCCTGTGTGCTTCTGAGTGGGTTTGAACAACCAACATTTAAGTTAGTAGTCAAATGCAAACCATTGTAATTGAACAAATTTGTTGGGGGGAAGGGCATTATGGTAAGGTTTCAAAGGACAGCTTGTGAAAACAAAGCGCAATGTGCAAAGAGTCAGATAATAAAAAGAGAAGAACCTTCTCAGCATTTGTCAGGCTGAAAGAATGGGAAAAAAAATTCAAGCATAGAATTGTAATACTGAAGGATGCTATGGGAAAATCTTAAATTATTCAGGAAGCATCAAAAGAAGATGAAAAATGCACAGTTACTGTACCAAAAAGGATTGGCTGATATGGAACCACTTCAGAAAATAGCATATGAACAAGAAGCAATGATAGTGAAGGGGAAAGCTCAAGCTTCACTGAAGGTGTTGTCAAAAAACAAGGCCCCAGGAATTGATGGGATACCAATTGACATGTTCCAACAAACAGATGCAGCCCTGGATATGCTCACCAGCCTGTGCCAAGATATTTAGAAGATAGCTTCCTGGCCAACTGATTGGAAGAGATCCATATTTATTTGCATTTCCAAGAAATACGATCCAGTGAAATGTGGAAACTATTGATCACTTGCTAAAATTTTTGTAAATGGCCAAAAAAGCACATTGACAGAGAACTTTCATAAATTTAAAAGAGGCTGTCATACTAGGGATATCATTAGTGATCAAATGAATCCTGTCTGAAAGCAGAGAATACCAGGAGAATATCTATCTGTGGTTTATTAAGGGCATTTGACTGTGTGGAACAAATTGTGGCTAAAACTGAGAAAAACAACTGTGCTTGTACAAAACCTATATTTAAACCAAGAGTCTCTTGTCCAAACAGAGCAAGGGAACACTGTCAGGTTTAGAATAAAGAAATATGTGTATCAGGGCTATATCCTTTTTCCATACACATTCAGTCTATATAGTGAGCAAATTATTCAAGAGTCTGGACTTGATGAAGAAGAATGTCACCAGGATTCAAGAAAGACTCATCAACAACTTATGTTATACAGACAATACAATCTTTTTTTCCCCATACAAATAATTTTATTAATTTTGAAATCTTCTGGAGAAGTAATATCACTACTGCTTTCAATATTCTAAATGTTAACTTTTTACCTCTACAGTTTTACTAATTATCCACATCAAGAGTTACAGAATGACCGTTTGATTCTTGCACTTGTGTCTGTCTTCAAGTCACAATCAAGTTGACTTTGGTTTTCTTGATCTTCAAAAATTTTAGAAATAATTACACTTCTATTATGTCTTTAAAATCGGCCTGATAAACAATTTTATTTTTTAGAAAAAGTCTGTGTATTTTTGTTTTCTTCTTACTTCATTTTCCTCATTAAAGATGTTTTAGGATGTATAGGAAGCATTTTGGCACTGTCAATGTTCAGCCAAATACAATATAAATCAGTATTTATTATGCATAAATAATTCAAAATTAGTTTATTACAGAAATGTCAACAAGTCATAAGTACATCATTATAGGGGTTCCACTACGCTTTACAGCGTGCATGGCAGATCTGTACATCTGACAGGCAGACTGGAAAATTAAATCTATCAGAACAATAAATAAGGGATACATAAATATAAATACCAATGCTAAAGCATTAGGGCTGTCAAAAAAAAAAAAGTGCAGCCTGCAGTAATTTAATTTTACATTCCTGACTACAATGTAGTCTCCAAATTCTCTTGCTGAGCTTGACATAGCTCATTAAAGTTTCTTGAGAAGGTCAGTTTGCCATATTTTCAGCAACCTTTAACGTTTCAGCAGTCTTGCGAAGTTCCTTAAAAACCAGTGATAAAGCTTCTGGGTTAATTCCTTGCTCACAAAGTCGTACACAAATAGACAGAGTTTCCATATCTAAGCCCGTATTCAAATTTCTTGAAATCGCAAGCAGAATGTCCATTGCCGCATTCATATTGGCTGAGGCTCCAGGTGCCCCTGCACCACCACTACCTGCCATAGCTGCCCAGACAATACAATCTTATTTGCAGAAAGTGAAGAAGATTTGAAGGGCTTGATGCAGAAGATCAAAGACTACAGCCTTCAGTATGTATTCTATCTCAGCATAACGTAAACAAAAACCCTCATCACTCAGCCAGTGGGCAATATCATGATAGATGGAAAAAGGATTGAGGTTTAATTTTTTTTTTTTAAATCAGCACACTTGGTACCAGCAGGCAAAAAGTCAGGAGACGTGGTATTGGGAAAATCTTGGTTGAGGACCTCTCCAAAGTGCTTAAGAGCAAGAATGTCAGTTTAAAGACTAACGTCCATCTGACCCAAGCCATGGTCTTCCTGTTGTTGTTGTTATGTACCATCGAGTGGCTTGCAACTCATAGCGACCCTGTGTACAAGAGCCCTAAAAGCCGTTCTATCCTGTGCCAACCTTGCCATCTCTGATACACTCATTCCCACCCATATGAAAATTGGACAGTGAATAAAGATGGCAGAAGAAAAATCAATTTGAGTTGTTGTGTTGGATAATAGTACTGAGTGATGACTGGTTCGATGGTAGTGGGTTATCAGAAACTATTAACATTAGTGCAACTAAAGTGCAGCCTCCCACTGCTGAACTTGACTGGGGAGGGGGAACGAGTGCTGAATGTCCCATGGACCACCAATAGAATAAATAGAGAAGAAGAAGAAGAAGAAGAAGAAGAAGAAGAAGAAGAAGAAGAAGAAGAAGAAGAAGAAGAAGAAGTAGTAGTAGTAGTAGTAGTAGTAGTAATAGATATGTCTTGGAGCGAGTGTAGACAAGGTCTCCTTAGAGACAAGAATAGTGAAGTCCTAAGATACTTTGGGCATGTTCTTTGGAAAGGCCATCATTCTTGGAAAAGTGAAAGGCCAGGATAAGAAAGGGAGACCCTCAACAATATGGGTTGACACAGTGAGTGCAGCAATGGATTAAAGTATATCAGGAATATGAGGATGGTGCAAGATAGGGCAGGATTCAGGTCCTTTGTTCATAGGGTCACTATGAGTTGTAGTCAACTTGATGGCACACAGCAACAGCATGTGCCAGGCACATTGGCAAAAAAAAAATGTGGAGCTGTTGGTTGCTCTCAGAATGGAAAGTCTGGAAAACATGAAAACCATTGGTGTTGCTGGGTTATATCCCTCACTCGCCTTGTGGTTGGGTGGGGTCATGAAATGAGCCCTGTCCAATGAATTCTGAAAGGAAAACCCAGGATGAATTCTGCACCAACCACTTAATTGCTGATTCAAGACTCCTGAGAAGTCTTTATAGCAAAATGACTGATTTGGTTCAAAATCATGGCTGTTCCATCATCCTGGGTCCTGTATCTGGTTTCAAGGAGCAAAGTCATTGACAGCACAAGGTAGTCATGTGATGAGCAAGAAGAAAGCCTTTCCCTTTTAAGCTGCTGAGACCTTATGATAGAGTATTACTGCAGCATACCTTCACCTATTCTAAGATACGAAGTTGATACTAAATCAAATTCTATACAATTAACTAGAGTCAAAGATGCTACAGAAAATTTAGGAGGCAATAAAAGTACGTGATAGAAGGACCTAGCCAAGTCTGTGGCATCTCTGAGAAGTAACACTCAAGACAAAGCAAAAGGTGAACCATTGCCATCAAGTCAATTCTGATTCTCGCTGATGCTCCATCGAGTTTGTGCGGATGTAAACCTTTACAAGCACTCGAGATAAGGCTCAAGAAATTGGTTGGGAAAGAATAACAACAACAATTTATTTACTTTTTTAAAAGAAAGAAAAAGATTAGTTGGAAATGAAAGACAAACTGTACTCATCAAATGTCAAGGTCATGGAGGACCAGAAAAGGCAGAGGAAATGTGCAAAGTGGAGGAGACTGAGGGACTATGGCAAGGGAACTGGACGCAGAGTCTGGGATTTCCTGCTTAGCCTAACCCTGCCCTGCCCTCTGCCTCAGTTTCCTCCCTGCCCTGCCCTGCCCTCTGCCTCAGTTTCCTCCCTGCCCTGCCCTCTGCCTCAGTTTCCTTCCTTGTAAGAGCACATTCCCCTTTATTTAAAAACAAAACAATAACACGGCTCAAACTTATCATTATGAAGTCAGAACTGACTCGTAGCTGACCCTCCAGCAAGTTTCGGGGGGACTGTAAATCACATGGGAGGAGACTGCCCATATTTCTCCCACAGAGCCAGTGGTAGATTCAAACTGCCAGAGAGACTCAACCTTTGGGTTAGTAGAGCAACTTCCTATGGAGGACATCACTAGAGCTTGCTCCTTTTTAGGGCAGTTGAAATATCCTATGAGCTTATCCATTGCCGTCGAGTCAGAAGCCACTCTTGATAGATCCCCTGATGCTCCAGCAGGTTTCTGAGGCTGGAAGTTGCACAGGAGATTGTCTTTCTCCTTCAGAGCAACTGGTAGATTCGAATTGCTACAGGTGCACATCCTTTGTGTTAGACTACAACCCTATAGACTACACCACCAGTGCTGCTTCGCCCTACCAGGGTATCCAAAAACTTTCTCTAAATAAGTTTGATTGGTTTGTTTCCTTTGCAAATTTGCTCAATATGAAAAATTCTAAATTTAAAAAAAGAAACAAATACTGTTTAATTATAAGTTAGTTGGCCTATTAAATGTTTGGATTACTTGGATTACTCAAAGATTTTGTTCAGCGTTGCATGTATTCTGCAGGCTTGCTGAGTGCTCAGAGCGCGCAGGGCGGTACCTCAGGTGCTGTGAGGAACATAACCACATTGCCATGGTAGCAAACCATAGAGTGATTCTGAAGACAGAACAGAGCTGCCCCATAGGGTTTCCTAAGTTGTAATCCTTACAGCAGCCAACTGCCATGTCTTTCTTCCATATGAGGCTCATAGAGAAGAAGACGTCCAGAACCGGTCCGCAAGACCTTCATAGATGGTAGGCTGTCGTGAAAGCCCCCAGCACATTTAAGGCCTACTTCACTCAGACACCTTTTGTAGAAATATACCTCTTATGAAAGGTGGAAAAGTTATGCCCATGAATCCCTAGTTTGTTATCCTGATATAATATGCTCCTGATGTTTACTTGAGAAGTTCTTATTAATGGGACTTGTAAGAGACCTTCAAACAAAATGAAACAAAAAAGACCCACTGCCGTCAAGCTGATTCTGACTCATAGCAAAGAATCAAAGTAGCATTGCCCAATAAGATTTCTAAGGCTGTAATCTTTACAAAGATTTTGCCACATCTTTCTCCTGTGGAAAGGCTAGTAAGTTCAAACTGTTGACCTTTGAACTTGTTTTCCACTGTGCCACCAGAGTTCCTTTGTTGTTTTTTGTTGTTGTTGTTGGTGGTGGTGGTGGTGGTGGTTTTTAAAAAATTTTATTATTTTGTGTGTGTGTGTACCGTCACTTCCGATCTGACTGGTACAAAAGGAGATTGTCCCTCCTTTTTTTGCAGCAAAGCATCTGGTGGCTTCGAACAACATATCTCTGGGATTGCAGTGCAGTTGCTTGCCACTAGGTCACCAGAGCTCTCTACCAGAGTTTCTTTGTAAGGGGCCTTAGGTATTATCAGAATGATTCCATCCATTGATAAAGGCAGAAACTGATAGCTGAGGAGGTGTCACTCTGGGTTTGCTAGAAAAAACAATCACTATCTGTGTATAGAGAGAGATTGATTTACTTCAAGGAATTGGCTCACATAATTATTGTTCTTAGGTACCCTCAAGTCAACTATGTCTCATAATGACCTTGTGAACAACAGAACTAAACCTTGTCCTTTCCTAAGCCATCCTCATCATCTCTGACATACTTCAGCCCAAATTGCTGCAGTCGCTGTGTCTGTCAGTCCATCTCATTGAGAGTCTTCCACTCTTTTGCTGACCCTTCGTCCTTCCAAGCATGACGTCCCTTTCCAAGGAAAAGCTCTCCTAACAACATGCCCAAAGTGTGTGAGTGCAGCTTATCCATCCTTGCTCTAAACAGTACTCTGATCACACTCTCTCCAAAACATCTCTCTGTTCTTTTAGCAGTCCACAGTACTAGCAAAGCAAAACACATAGGTCAGAAAACAGCCTGCGCACTCCTGCAGACTTCCATCCCATGCTCCCGTGGCCAGGAGATATATGATTAGGCATTGTATGTACGACAACAACCCAAAATAAGACGTACATTGCAAAGAGGACTCAGGGGAGGATGGGAAGGAGGCAATTATGCAACAATGACTGAATAATTTAAAAAAATCCATGAA